TGAGCATCAATTACAAATCACAGCAGTTGGAAGCATTTGTATATTTTGGTACAAACCTTATTCTGAGTTGTATTAATTAAAATTAATTAATACAAAAATAGAACTACATTATCCTAGCAATTGAGTTTGGTCCATTGCTAGCAGTGGTACTTGAGTGGTGAAATTTTTACTGGTTTGTTTCCAAATCCCAGCTTAAAATCAGTGCAACAACTCCAACGTTTGTTTGGTCTCTCCAGTGCAACTTACGTGGATGCACCCAGGGTACATTTTCATTAGTAGTGAAGCACCAGATGCTGCTTTACCAACTACTTTGTTAGCTGTTACGTGAAAGAATCAACTTTTAACACATTGTGAGCTTAGTCATCCTGCTTCTTTCTCCTTGCAGCTGCTGTCCTTCCTCAATGCAAATCATCTAAAATTAAATGGGAATTTCTCCTCTGAACAGGAAAGGTGGGCTGGTCTCCTGTGCATTTGCATCAGTTTTGCAATCAGATAAACTCCACTCATCACCTGCCACAAGAAATCCTCATCAGTAAAAAGACTGCCAGAAGGGATCATTTTATTAAGACTAGAAATTATTTTGAGAGTATGTTCACAAGTACCATGACATATAAAAATATATAATTCCATTTGGTGAGACAGCTAACACACAGATGGAATAGAAGCACTTCGTCTAGGCTAGATAAAAGCAAATAAATAGTATATGCATGACCTCTCCCTGTGCTTGAAGATTTTAAAATCCAAAGCAGATCACTGTACATTACTATGGCAAAAAAAAGGCATTCAGTTGTCCTGATTGTTGACCAGAACATCTAGGGGGATTTGAGCCTACGAGCTCTCTCTCACCTGAGCAGTACATTTTTTCTTTATTCAGTGATGCTAACTGATGGAAAGGGGTATTTAGTTGGTTAAGACATGGCAATACATCTGCTAAAGAAAAGACAGAAAGAATTCCACATCATTGAAAAGCATCTTAATTATAAGATAGTACTGAACCTACTGCACAAAAAAAAAAGAAAACAGACTAGTTTCTTTTGTATAGACCACTTTGTATGTATTCTGAATTACTAAGACTTTGGAATGCAAGACAGCTTAGGATAAAAGAAGTTCAGTATGGACAAAAGACATTAACTCTTTCAGTTAATTTCTTAAAGTAGGAATAAATGCTAACAGACCACCTGCAAAGCAAGATACAGAAGGTGGGCACTGGGCTGTTAGTCATGAAATTGCTTCCTCTGTCCTAAACACCTATTTATTGTACAGTACAGTGAAAGAAGCTCAAGCACAAATGGCACAGTATGTCTATACAACACTTGCAAGGTCTACTTAGACTACTGCATTCAAAATATTTGAATGCAACTTCATCCACTGTGTCAAATTCTGCTTTCTAATTCAGTTTAACCACATGAGGCAGGAACTGTCATCATGTATTTATAAAACAGTCGGTGCTCCCAAGAATCCAGACTTATTTGGGACACTGGATATAACTGTAACAGTTTAAAGAAAGAGAAAGAATCTGCCAATACAACTGCTTTATGACATGACCCACAGGTCAGACCAAATTCAGTCCTGCACACACCCATGTATACATACACATTAATTACATGTACCTCAGCAGAATAGGAGCTGCAGTCATGAAACAAAGTGCTGAATTTAATCTACTGTCTTAAGTTTTTGTTTAATGCACTCAGTTCTTTGGCAGATATACATTCTATGTAGCTGTGAGAGTTGAAAACAAATCTGTATTGTGATTCTGTTATGACTCTCCTTTGGTCAATAGTTTGAAGCTCCTTCTGAGTTCTAGGTTTTTTTTTTCAATAAGGCGGTGATATATTCCAAGGAGAGAAGCAGCAGACAGACTAGGCACAAAGCACTAAAAGTGTATGCAAGAGCAAGTAAAGTAAGCTACTTAAACACGAGATTCTAACTCCGCAATTTCAAAATGGTAGTAGTATTCCAAAGGGTAACAATGAGATGTAACAAGAAACAAACTTCCTTAAAAATCTAACCCACTGTTGTTTTAAGTGCTACATTCATTCAAATGTACCTCATCCTATCCAGCTCTCAATTAACTGCTTTCTCATTCCAAATGCAGGTCTGCAGTGCATAGAAATATAATTATTTACACACCAGTCTATCACTGCCACTACTGTCTGTACTTCTGAAGCATCTTGATTACTCTACTGATGAGCACCATGGAAATGCCTATAAATAAAATAATCAGCTCTCATTAAATTACAGTCCATGGAGCAGGGAAAGATGATTTTCCTTTGTACGTTCCTTTTGTAAATTTTATCATTTCACAGCAGAGAGTGTAATGTGCCTCTGATGACACTCAAAGAGATGGACTGTCAGGATTCTTGTCAGTATTTCAGCTTTGAGCAGCTTGCACATTTGTGTGAATATTTTCTCCTGAAAATAAAGTACTATTCATGAGAATTAGGCATTCAAGAATCTTTTCTTCTAATGTCAGAATCAGACATGCAAAAACCTTTAATATCATATTGAAGGTCAGACTTTATGGAGCAGTATGTCACGTAACCCTAACAGCAAACACGGTGCTCAAAGCAGAAACTTCTGGCTTTGGCTTGGAAAACTGCATTGTGAAAACACACATAGGTAGGAGATTTCAAATAAGCTTAGATTAAAATATAAGCATTCGAGGAAACTTCCCAGTAAGAACAAAGCATTGGTAAATCAGATTTGCTCCTCAAGGACCTCCAGCAATAATTGATGCCACAAATATCAAACATTGCATTACTGTCAAATTACAAAATCTCATTGCTCTCATTAACTGCAATACAAAATGTACATTTGCATGCAGTAAAACTGCTGGTGGTACCTAACACATACTGTAATATCACATTCCATAAAATGGTAAATTATAAAGCTAGTAAAACAAGTTAAATGTGGTAACTTAAATTAGACTTTACTGAAGTCAGATTTCTGTGGCAAAAACAATGATGAAATTTTCAGGTTGCCCCAATGAACAAAGCACAAAATGTAGGCACCACTCTATGGATCTCTGAGGCTGACTTGAGGAAAGCAAGGCTGCTTTCCTTCAAGGTTCTTGAATTCCTTTTGGATATATAAGCATATGTTGTGGCTGCTATGCATTTGCAGTCGAAATTGCTAAATTACATAGATCTTATTGCTCCATCCTCAGCCATGTCTCCACGAAAGGCAGCCACTCCAGCCCCAGACTGCACTCAGCTCCACAGCAGCACTACTCTAGGCAATCTGTAACTTGAAAGCAAGCAGCATTTCCCAAATTTCTGCTTAACAACTAACAGAATTTCCCAAGGAGGTACAACCAACAGCCCATAAACATAGTCCAGCTTATGAGCTGATTCAGTCTTGCTTACCATCAGAGGCGGAGGGGAAAACACTGTTTATTCCTGCAAATAGTTTAAAAACAGAAAAGAAGATGGTATGCCAATGGGGCATGCGCCAAGAATTTCCATGCTTCATCCAAACCTGCATCTAATCTCCAAATTGTCGGCTATTCTCAAAAAATAGAGGCAATCTACTCATCGAAATAAAGATTCTCATCCTCACAACTGTGAGTGCAACAAGACAGCAGGAGACAACTGGTCTTGGGTCAGACCCATCTATTAAGCCTTTTTTAAAGCTGCTGTGATTCAAGATGCACGGTCCTGTGCCCACATGTGATCATGTGCAAAAGAATCATTTGTCTCAGTGCAAAAGAATCATTTGTCCTTCCTCTCCCTCTCCTCACAGCCACTTCCAGTGCTCCCAGCACATCACACATCCTGTATCACTACAACATGCTACTGTACAGTCAGCTTAGCTGGAAAATTGCCCACCCGTGTATGTCATATAAGCTGTATGACTTACAATGATACAAGAGCAGGGCTGAGGCAAGTGGAAAGAAAATCTTTGAAGGGCAGTTGAGATTTCTTATCTTTGAAACTATAAACAGCCACTAACTGTTGTACAGGATGCAAAGATACTAACATGTATGGGCTGGACAAAGCAAGAGCTACATTCAGCTCACAGACACTGTATCTGGACTTGGACACTTAATAAGCCAATGTTGGGTGCTGAAAGGATAAACATTTTCATTTGTAAAGGCTGCATGTTGGTTGGTTGGACTCATTGCTTAGTGTTGGCAAGGTATTTGAATAATTTTCTCCAAAGATAGGAGAGTTAATTTAAAGCAACAGCATAAAATCCTAGAAGAGCCAGTGTCCAACTTTAACAAAAGAGCTGGAGTAAGAAAAACAGATACAAAAATAAGATTATCTCTTAATTACAGCAGACTCACAACTATTAAATCAAGATCAGAATTTTCCTTGAAGAATCTAGTTCTTCCCAGTCCCCAGAGCTATCCTCCACATTCTTTTAAAGGTTTTCATAGATATGGTAATATGAAATGCCTTATTGCTGTGTAGTTGCTAACAAGAGACAGATGTTTATTTCAGTTCTAGGAAAATGCAGACACGAAGCACATTATGACCACCACCTAAATATTTCTGCCCCTAGACCCATTCTGCACGTTACCTATTCATGTATTTAGTCAAGAAGATGCAACAGTTCCATACTTTTCCTCCTCATTATTGAGAGCATACATGGATCTTAGCAAGGCCACGGTGGGAGGCAGGGCAAGTCAAGCAACACATTTACACTCAGTGAATCCAAAGCCTGAGAGCTCTTGTAATTACTTCAGAGGCAAATCAACTGGTGGCCATAAGCTGAACTCCCCACGTTATTTATTTAGCTGGTCCAAAAGGCACACAATGCATGTTGGCGTGCAGGATGGAGCATCTGTTTCACTCAGATGGTTGGCTGCATTCTTCACTTGATATTGATATCAGTGAAAATTTAGTAACTTAACCACTGGCATGGGAAGTCTGACTTTAAGAGAACAGATGGCAGTGATCATCTCAGGTTAATTTTAGGCTTCAAAAATTGTTCTGAATCAGCAAAGCATCAAGATAAGAAAAAAAGAAAAAGGCAACATCTGTAAAATCTCCTACCTGCTTTCCATCCAGAGTATACAGCTTTTTGACCACTCCTGTCTCCAGCTTTATAGCTTCAGTGATATCAGTGAGAACTTGCTCAAACGAATGGGCCGTCTTCTTGTTCAAGAGCACACGGACTGCCTTCCGGGGCTTCACCCCACTACGGATGATGGTTACCAGCTTGGGACGCACAAAATCTTTGTTCTCCTTTGCCTGGGCACTGTTGCTGCTGGCCAGAGACTGAGGTGCTTTCTGGTTGGCAGATGTCTTCACGTTGACAGACCAGTTGGGATTGACGTTCTTCGTGTATTCCACCTTCTTGAAGAAGTTGTCAGATGAGCATACATAACTCTCTCCTTTCAAAAGAAATGAACACCAGTATAATACAGTTCTTACCCTAAGACTGATAAGAAACAGAAAACACATTTTCCCCCATTAACCATGTAAAACATTCATCACAGTTTTCATTAGAACTTCAAAGACATCTTATTCTTAAAACATTGTGTGAGCTTTATATTTTATATTTATGCCTATTTAAAACATGATTTAGCATCTCCCCAGTGTAAGCAAGTCAGACAACTTACATCAGCAAACACACACTGTCAGTCACATAAACCCGGGATTAAATAAGATTGAGATTTGTAAAGGTATTAGTTACCTGAAGATGCCTCTAAGCTGTCTAAAAGTTCACGAACATCTAATTCATTTAATCACCCAAATTATTTTGCAAATCTGTGAGCTTATTCTCCATCTTTACGGACCTAGTTACTATTTCAGCCCATCATTGCCTTCCTAGAGGATATCAACATCCATCCACAAAGTACCTGTTCTGTAAAGACTGAAGAATTATGAAAATCCAGTACTAAACAATCTTTGTCAAAAAGCATCTTTGATAAATCTAGCAGGCATAACGAATACACTTCACTTATTGTCAGTGATTTATTAGTCAGATCTAATAGCAGCTAAGATAGAACACTATACCAAATATCACTGTTTGCTTCAAAATGGCTGGTACCAACCAAAAATATATTAAGTCCAAATATAGACATAGTAGAGAAGGGTGAAATGTTACATAATCCTAGTAGTAACTCACTGGAAAAAAAGAAAAAGAAATAAAGCCCTACCCTATCCCATCCAAAATTAGTTTCAAGCTTCATCTGTAATTTATAGGATTCTATCTACCTAAGGTTTTAAAATCACCTTAAAGAAGGATTTGTAGGAGCTTCTTTGGGGCCTGCAAGTCTGATGGATCCTAGAGGATTTATTACTAGAATGAGACTGTGAAGCAGTCTCCCTAAGGGAACGTAGCTGAGCTGTCTAGTCTGAAATGACTCAGGCTGCTGAGCATTTGAGGATGCACAGAAACAAAAACAAAACAACAAAAAAAAGACAAACAGTAAAACAGTGTTAAAGGAAAAAGCCTTTGCCGTTTGTCTCACCATTAGATAAAATTTTAATAGGAATTGAAGACATAAAATGGGTACCTGCAGGATCTCACAAAGTTTCTTTTTGTGCTTTGTTGGACTGATCCTACAGTTCTTTAGGTACTGCGATAGTTAAATCTATATTTTAATATCAAGGCCATTTTGAATAAGAAAAAAAATCCTTCTTCAGATACAGAAGCAGTTGCATTTCCTTATCTGTTACCTCCTACAAACTCTATGGCCTGGATGTCTTTGAAGAGCCTGCCCCACATCTGAATCTGGCTTTTCAATATGGAATCTTTCCAGATAGGATTTTACATCTACTTGGCAAAGGCGTAAATATGGATTTCCAAAGAACCCACCGATTTCCACAGAAAAATGTATGATCCAAGCATGAAACATACACCTTGTACACAGTGCTCACACTGTTATCCTTCTGATGACTAAATGGCATTTTTTAGTGAATGCAGTGAGATGATCCTCACGGAACACATGGAGAGACCAACACCACACACATAGAGGCCTTACTAAAGGCTTAAAACAAAGGAGTGCACACTGTTTATATCCTTGCCACCGTTGGCGTTTGAATTCACAAAAATCCACTGAAAAGCTGCAGAATGTTTGGCTGTTCAATTGTTTGGATTTCTTTTTGCCCTGACTTTGTATTTCACTTGCCAGAAAGCAGTGTGTGCTCTCAGCAGTTACATCCCCAACAGCAGCTTTTGTCTCCTGAACTGCAGAGCACCGAAGTCATTTACCACCAAGCAGCAGGTATTGTTGTCCCCTTCTGAAGTAATGACAGAAACACAGAAGGCAGAAATCTAACAAGTCTCAAGATGGATACTATTTATTAACTAGCGCACTCCAGACTAACAGAACCCCAGCAGGAGGCTCTGTTGGTGTGAACAATCAATCTGTAGCTGGAGTAAGCGTGCTATCAGCAGAACTCCTTGATAAACTGCTCATACAGCATTCATAACTGAAGCTCCTTTAGTGCCTCACACTTCTTGAATTGGACTCAATAGAAGGAAAAACGTCCCACAAAGTTCCATACGTTATGAAGGATCCCTGCTGGAGTTACTGATTGTTTTCCAGAAATGCTGTATTTGTTAAATCTTTCTGATTGATAAGCGATAAGCCATTGTTTATCTGCTTCAGCCAAGCAACATCTGGTGCAGAGGAGGCCCATGCTTCTCAGCACTTTCATAACTGAGTACAAAGCACAGCAATGAGTCTGAGATGCTCAAACAGGGAATTAGCCCTCCTAAGAACCTGAGCTTCCTCAAGCGGATAATTCCCAAGCAGCAGAGCCTTTGGGAGCATGCTGAACAGAACAGTAACATTATGCTTTGGGAAAAGGGATTTCTGTACCTAAATGCAATATGAAGTGACTTGAATCCTATTCTCACCACTGCTTTTCTGTGAAAGGTTCAGACCTGTGCCTTTGCTTCCACACCAGAAAAATAGTAGCAATCAGCTACCAAAGGGGTGCTGGGCTTGAATATAACTTGTTTTTACACAGTATTTTGGGAGACCACAACTAAAAGTATAGGCATATGCTGTGATTTATAAAAACACGAAGTCTTATTTATGGAAAATACACTAAGGTCCACATTTTAAAGTGAGTTTAAGACATTAATGGTCTGTTTAGGAGAGTGCTATTATTCTTAATTCCACGTGAATCCTTTGAAATTCTTCACTGCACTGTGTAGTTGCTTAGTGTACTTAGAACAGCTGGCTCCAAAGGCAATAATGGCATATTGCAATACGCCTATGCTTTGCTTCCACAAATGCAATGCTAGGTACTTGTGGATAAAACTTTCAGATTATGCTCACAGTCACAAGTGGAAAATATCATCTGTCCATTCTCACTTGGTTTTATTTAACCTGATCCCTAGCAGATATTTTATTGAATTCTAAAACTGACCGGAAATTTGCTTAGAGTGACACTGCTCTACCCTTCAGAACAGTGGCTCTTCCTAGTATCATTTCCACAGTTATGGCTGTATAGCTCCCAGGAAAGGGCATTTCCATCTTCCTTGACCACAGAAGCATTAGTTTCAATTTAAATTAACTACAATTTATGTATTTCTAAACTCAGTTTTTGGCTGTCAAATCATAACCATGTCAATGAAATTCCTCAGTCAGGCACATCCCCTTTACCATTTGCCAACCAGGAACATTTGCTATTTCACTTTACACAGCTGAGTTTTACCCACATTTTACCATAAAGTAGTAGTATAATCAAGCAAGAATGGTCTGAAGTCATTTGAACTTTACAGTTTTGAGTATGTGCACTGTGGCCATAGGTTCACCAAGGAGAGAAATCTTACAGGGGAATATTTCTAGCAGAGAGGAGTGGTTTCTCTGCTACATCAATATGTAGATGAATCTTTAATGAGAATTCAAGGTATGCATTTGTGCCAGAAGTATAACTGATAAGCACAACATGGTTGCAGAAGTGCACAGCATAACAGAGAAAGGGAGGAAGCAGATATGAGATTCAGTCAAAGGAATGACTCCAAGAGGTACATTACTCCCCAGCCCTGAACATAAAACCTGCACACAAATATGTTCAGGAGCATATATTCAGACAATAAGCAGCTGTGTGCATGTGCAGAAATACAGCTGGAACCATGAGTGCAATGAACAGCCATTTTGCTGCTTCCGAACAAAACCCCAAATGGCAGCACCAAAGAATTTCACATGGGGGTGGAGGCTTTGGTAAAGATGAGAAGTATCATCCCAGGCAACATCCAAACTGCTGCTCAATATGGCACTACAGGCATGAGAGCAGCGGTGCTAAGAACAGCATTTTTCTAGTGCAGTGCTAGGTCAGTGCAAGATGCCCTTTCTGGACTGCAAAGCCAAAGCCCTGCAGGATGTTGTGCACTTGGCATCATGACAGCGTGCTCTGGAGGTATCGCTGTTTCCCACTGTGCCGTCAGACGAGCTAGAGTTTTTATTTATTCTTTTCATCCTACTGCTAGCAATAGATGGACTGACTGTAGAGCTTTGACCATAAGCCAGCATGTTTGCCACCTGAAGCCACAGCTTGTATCATACAACCGTATTGGCTATACCTGCATTACACATCACTGTGCTACTGATTTGATAGAAGCACAAGGCGATTAGATTATTCAGCTCCTAAAGAAGGGATGATCTCAGCAAAGATAAGGTTTGCCTTAGAGAAGGTTTCTTAGAGATTCTAAGCTCAAGACGAGTGCTAAGCCTTCAACCCTCTTAGAAGGACTTCTTTTGACAATACTAAAAATGACGGGTTGTACTTTCAGGAAAAAAAAAAAGTTATCCTTTATCAACATGCATCAGCAAGTTTTGCATGCACCAGCAAGTTTTCAAGTATAATGAATTCCATGCAGAAGTTGAGAAAAATTGGAAAGGCTGGATTGAGGCCATTTTGAAAGTCTAACTGCTAGTAGTTATTCCAAAAACTGTCTCTGTAGACTGCAGTCAATTATTTTGGTTATTAGCTCTACTGCCTCGAAGTTGAGACTTTGCTACTGTGCCCAGCTTTCATGTTTCATGGGATTTACTGTGACTTCAGTAGGAATTAAGTGGACTTAACTCCTCACAGAGTTCATTATGTATTGTGTTAAAGTAGGCCCTTGAATTCAAATGCATGAATTTCCTGCTACTTTATGCACTGAAAATGATTGTCTTCTGCCTCAAGACCTACTTCACCACAGCAAAAGGAACAGTGGAAGAGCTTCCTTTGGCTCTTCCACGTGGAGCTTCCTCATGAGAGAAGCACTTCATGCTCTGTTGGAAAACTTAAAAAAAAAAAATAAATAAAAAAAAGAAAGAGAAAATGAAATGCATGATTACCAAGTTGCCTTCACAACTACATGATAAAGATTCACCATGCCAGGTTACCTACTAATCTTGACTCCATACCAAGGGACCATACTAATCCTAGTGCAGCAGCTCAGATCATCAAGGAAATAAAACAGAACAACAATATGTACTGCTACACAGGATATAATTAACCAAGCTCTAGGGATAACAGTCACAGCAAACAATGCCAAGTTACCAAGGTTTCAATATTGGACTACAGGAGCTTCAGCTTTCCAGACAAACTGGAACATGCATGCATTGGGTGGAGACTTCGATGCACTTCCTACCAAGCCCTCAGTCCCAACACGCACCAGGCTCTGTACAGCTCTAAGGTGGAGCCTCTCCTGTGACTACTTTAAACATTCCTGAACAAGACTCCAGAAAAGACTCTCCAGGGTATGACAAAAGCTTGGAAACACTTCCTCAAATATCATACATAGCCCAAGAACATTTGCGATGAAACCCCACTGAGCAAAACATAATTCCATTCAGATTTTTCTAATGTTTAAACTAAGGTAGGGGCTGATTTCAGACCAGAACAGCCCAGTACAGGACAAGAGTATAAATCCATTATATGATGGGCCTTCTGACCCTGCTTAATAGCTTTGGCACACCAGGAGCTCACAGAGGAGAAGCTCTGCAGCTTGAGAGACATACTGTCTCTCAAATATTGATTTTAATCCATAGTTTGCATTTTTGGCCTTACCTACCATGCCTCATCTGTACTGTATTTGTAGTCAATATAGGCTTATTTCATATTTATTTCTGACCCCCACCATGTGCTACAAAGAACTCTTTATTCACAAAAAATTGAACTCCAGAAATAGGACCAAAGTCCACTTTAAAATCAAATGCTTGATAGAAGTACGTACCCCCAAACCCCTGACCAGGCCCTGGAAAAGACTGAGGAATGGAATGAACTTGAAAGTCAAGGTTTGATCTTTCTTGTTCATCTTCTTCTGTCCTACAAAACTGGGACAAACAAACCAGGCTGTCTACCGCTATCTCAGTTCCTCAATGGTAATATCTTCCTGCACCTTGACATATTCAGACTACCACTTCTCTGAGCCAGGGAGTTTCCTAAGTCTTGGTCACTAGACTCATAAAATGAATCACTCATCATAAAATGAAAGGAATAAAATTCACCTGCTGCTCTTTCCCAAAACTCATTTATTGATTAGAGCAACCACAATAGATAGCAGCACTTGGGTGCAATATTCACTCCTGACACTGTCAGCAATTTACGTATAGTCAGGATGAGGTGAACAGTGAATAGGATGCTCTACTGTATTAAATCAACATCTAGATAAAGAAAGAACACAGTTCTAAACAATGGCAGCATGTACTTCGCATATTTACAGATGCATTAAAATTGATGATGAAAACAAGGAATCAAGATTAAGACGATGAATGCAGTGAATGAAGATGATCTGTATTAGTGATAGCAAGAGAGAAAAAATGATCAGAGAAGACGACTTTAAAAGTCATTGGGAGACATGAAGATAGACAAGTCTAGCATAGGAGGCAGTACAGAACAAGTGGACAGTGCCAAGTTCAGTACAGATCAAGAGGCACATCCCAGCTGATAGATATGAGATGTGACCAGAAGAGTAGAAGAGACTTCACTTATTCCATCTTAGACTGGAAAGGAAAACATGCATTCATCAAGAACCTTAGGAGAATGGCCCCTAGTTCCAGGGAAGGACGTCCACCAAGTCTGACCCTAGAGGTCCAAAGGGTTACTTCAAGAACCGTTAGTTAGTAGCTCACCAAGTATTTCTGTTCATGTGAAATACCTGCTGTCTTGAGGTTATTGGTATTATGCAATATCATTCTCTACCCTACAGAAGTACATTCAGACTATACCATATAAACACATTTTTAATCATGCAGAATAATCAAGTACCCGGAATGCACTGTGAAAGACTAGTGGTAATTTACGAGCTACTGAAAATCAAACTGAAATTAGCCCCTCCAATAACTTCATTTCCTACGTTCTACTTATTTACTGGAAATTACAATATAATAAATTAGTCACCTTATAGCAACTAAAACTGCTTTAGTCGCTGTCAGTCTCTAACCAGAAAGTTAATTATATGGCAAACATACTGTCAAGTGTCTGTACTGTTTTGCATGCCACAGTGCAAATATGCTTAAGTTCTGTTTTTTTTTCATGGGTACCTAGAACACAGTTACACAAACACACAGACCAGTAGCAGAGTTTAACAAAGGATTGTCTGCAACCATGGTATTTGTGTCTCTCCAAGATTGCCTTTCTAAATTAGCACTATGGGAATATTATCATTAAACTGTTAATAACAGCAGATAGATCTCCTTTTGCATTTTAAGATGTTAGATTATCTTTTCTTTCATTTTGATCAGATTGTATTTTCCTACTAGCTAATTTTCCTGCTAGCAACACAGTCAATCCCATTTTTGTTTCAGTGTCACATCTTCAGTGCTGTTTCTAGACACTGTTCTGGTAGAACAAAGCCAGGACCCAAATGTCAGTGTCTCCTGCCTACACCTCAATCAATAAAACAATGTATTTTGAAGAAATAGGTACTTTCTTATCTGCAGCAGAAATTTCATTGTAAAACAAGTGTAATTATGAAAGTCTTGTTAACTTCTGACCAAAAAAAAAAGAAAAAAAGGACTGAGAGCCATCATTAGAGGTAGGCTGTGGCCATATTAAAAGTGATAAGAAAAAGATGGCAGAATCTCTAAAATTAGGGAGGCCGCACACCCATTTGACAGCTGTATGGTAACTCAGCTGAGAATAACTCTACTAGGATTGCATCATCTCTGTGAAAAGCATTGACTTGTTCCCAGTAAAACTCTTCTGTGAAAAATGTTATTGTTCCATTGTGTTCTTTTCTCCACAAACTATTTTGGGGAAAGGAGCATCCCACTTGACAGATAAGGAAAAGAGGCTAAACTCAGGGTCACTTGATGACTCCCTGCTGAGGTTGCCCCAGCAGTTCAGGGGCTTACATTACTGTCCTATTAAAGCAGAAGCCTTGTGGTTTTTCTGAAGTCACCACATCCCTCAGATCATCTACTTAGAAGAAAACAAAGAAGAGAGGAAAGCATCTCTCCTTTTGCAATAAGATAATCAGGGTATTCCAGGCCCAAACAAAGGATGAAGTGTCTGAATTGGTCTGGAAAGAGAAAAGCAGAGCAAGAGAGAGGACGTTCTCCATGCACCCTGCTCAAGCTGTGCCACCAGCAGAGCTCACCTGTGGCCATACCTCAGGCAAGGATGCAGGACTGGCTTTGCAGTGATTTTTGCCTTGGGCATCCTCCTGGCAGCACCCACAACAGCAGCAGCCCAGCTCTGCAGAGGCTGAGCTTCATGGTAATTCCTTCATCCCACAGCCCAGGAGATGCTCAAAGGAACAGGCACACTGCCAGCCTCTCTAGAAACAGAGAGGCACTCTGACCTGCACCAAGCATCTCCTGCACACTCAGACCTTTTTTCCCCACACAAGATGTCTTCCCACACTTTCCCACAAACCTACCACGGCAGCCTGGCCCACATCAGCCACCACCACACACAGTCTCTGTAGAAACACTCCCCAGATACACTTCCTTGCACACGCACACTCCATTTCAACATACCTACCTTCTGTACGTACCCCACATGAACCCTACTCACACACAGCATATGAACCCCCCCAACACTCCTTCCTTACACATCACTGTGCAGGAATCCTCCACCACCTCTTACACACAAAGCCCAACATCCCTCTACAACATTCCCTGAGTATAACCCTTCCAACACACCCCTGAGCATGAACCCCCTCTAGGAACCCTCCTTACAACTTCTTCCACATATCTCTACATATAAAACCTCAAATTTCACCAAGTGCAACCCCTCTCAACATCCTTTCCATGCACACACGTTGATCATTAACTGCCCCCCAAACGCAATGCATGAGCTCCTGACACACCCCTCCACACTCCTCAAATGCTGTCTGAACTGCTAACACACCTCCTTAAACACTCACCCCACATCCCAACATTCCATAATCCCCCGCACATCCCAGCCAATGCTCCCATACACATTGTTCATGAGCCCCACACTGCACACCCTTAAACACTGCATAAATCCCTCCTACCCCCATCATACATTGTGCAGAAACCCTGTTACATACGCACTGCATGACCCCAACACACATACAGTCATAGCATTTTCTACTCATATGCATCCAACTCATATGGGACCCTAGCCCAGTTTGGACAGACATAGGGATGCCCTCAGACAGCCCCCTGAGCCATGCACACAGCCATGTCTAGTCCAGAGTAAGACACACCCCTCAAGCTCTGCATCTGCACTAGAGCGAGCATGCCAGAGGCACCTTGAGGGCTGCCACACTCCTCTGCATCTCTGTGCAGGGAAGGAGATGGGGCAGGTTCAACACAGAGGGGCAGAAGCATCCCTGGGCCCGCAGGAAATGTGACCTAAGGAAATGGCCAAAGTGGTGCAGCCCCCTTCTCACCCCGCCTCCTCACTGCACCAGCCAGCAATGCCAATTACCTTCCTCCAGCTCATCCATGCTTCCAATCTTCCGCGATCCATCAATGGTGTAAATGTAACGGACTCCCTGAGGCAGATTAATGTTGTCAGACAGGGACCGGGTCAGGTCAGCCAGGAGAGCATCAAAACTTCGGAAGCGGTCGGAAGACACAGCATATACAATTCCCTTGAAGTAGCGGTCCCCGTTGCGATAGAAACGCACCTTCTTGGCTTTCTTCTCATTACTCAGTGCCTGTAAGGTCCTGGTTCTGTAGAAGCTACAATGAGCACTGTGAGTAGGACTGGGCAACCCATTCATACGTGAGCCTCGCATGTTTCTGGACGCCTTGTCTCGTTCGTCAAAGTGTCCAAAATCAAGTTCCATAGTTTGGTGAACCCTAAAGATCTGAAGCTGAGCAGGAAGACGGGAAGAAAAGGAGTGCGAAGAGGACAGGTTAGAGCCAAGCAGAGCCACAGTCCAGCAAGAAAAAAAACGACAGAGCTGCATCTGGAGCAGGCCAGATTTGAGAAGCACCCCCTCCCCTGACCCAGATTTGTATCGATTCTGGGGACTGAGGGTAGGAGGGGTCCGCGCTGTGAAAGGGATCCAATTACTGGGGGCAGGGAACACATAACTAGAGAACAGTCTGCTCCTACACCTGGGAGTTTTCAGAGTGTAGTAAACTGGGGCTTGAAGCCAAAGGGAGTTGCATCTCAGCCCCCAAAAACTCATCCAAACACCAGTTGGCAGTGAATTAAACCTCTGAGCCCTGTGAGGTTTCCTTTGGCAACAGAAAACAAGGAGATCCCAGTGAGTCAGCCCTTCAATCTGTCGAATCATAGAAGGAATCAGAGCATCTGAATATTTAACATTAGAATAAACTGGCATTTATGAAAGAATGGTCACAGGGGACTAAGCAGTTTCTTTGTGACAGCCTGTTCAATAAGGGTTAACAATGAGATCCATCCCACCCTTCCCCCTATCCGCAGCCCCCTCCTAGCCCATCAATCAATTCCCAGGACCAGCCTACATCTCTAAGAAGAAATGACTGGAAAGAAAAATCTGTCATTGAAACGAGGCTTCTATGAGCCCTTTTCAGCAGCCTGAGCCTCCTCTGAATTGCATTTCAGCTCCCATTTAATGAGGAGGAGAAAATAAAAGAGCTATTTCCAACTCTTCCAACCTCCCCCCTCCTGGTCTTAAGTGATTTAATTGCTGGAAGTGCCCCCTGCCCAAGGGACACGCCGCCCCTGCCAGCTCACCTTTCATTGTTCTGAGCACAGGGGGGCTCCTTGCGCAAGGGAAGAGCTCAGAAAAGCAGAGACTTGAGCTGACAGACAGTAATCAGCAATTTTCACATGGTCTTTAGTTTATGCTTAAGAACAACCTTTCCCCTGCACCAAACCCCAACACAAAAGGAGGAGAAATCCCCCCAGTCCTGCTCTTTCATTCCCTCTGTAAACTAGAAACATGCAACTCACGTATGTTGCTTGCATGTTAACACGAGGCAGAAATGGGATTTACATCCCACATTTGGCAGCCAGGTACAAATCTAGGAAAAGCTGTTGCTATCAGTTCCCCACCCCTCACGTTTGCCAGAACTGCTGCTTCGCTGTGTTTTACAATGTCACCGTGACCTGCACGAGAAAAATCATTGTCCTCAGCCTGCGGTAAAGCAGATGACAATGCAGGCAATCTGCAGAGAAACCCCAAGTTCGGAACGTTTTCCGCACAATGCCAGCTGGGGTACATGCAGTCGGGTGACACGTACTGAACAATGAAACATCCAAGCAACTTCAGGAATGAAACAGAGGATTCGGGGGTTTTGTTTAAAAATGAACTGCAGATGCTGTAAGGTACTAAAAGAAAGATTCCTCCTTCCATCTGACATCTGCTACTTTTCTGCATGCAAGTCACTCGAAAGAGCTCTACTCACCGGTTTTCAGCGCGCAGGGTGGAGATGCTGAGAGAAAGAAAACCAGGCTCGCTCTGCCTTTGTTGTCTGAGCTCCAAGCAAGAAATTCCTGCCAGGGTGGATGAGACGCCTCCTAGGTCCTAGTGCCTTGTTCGATCCCTTCATGGTAACTTTGCCTCAATGGTTTTTACTCTAATCATCATTCATCTTATTGTAATCTTCTCTGCATCTGAGTAGGGAAAAAAAGGGTGTGTTCATTCTAGCTCTGGATATGTTAATAGATGGTTAAGCAAAAAAAGTTTAAAGGGGTAAGTTTGGGGCTTGTGTTCCGAAGGAAGTAAATTTCTTCTTGGCTTTAACTTCACCAGTAAAGCATCTGGCCCCACTGAAAATAGAGCATAATTAGACTGATGCACCAATTTTATAGGATTACAGTATAGGGAGCTCACGGCTACGAGCTTACTATGTCCTACAATACTGGCACAAGGCTGTAGTGTGTTAGTAAAGCAATTTAAGAAAAAAAAGTTAACCAGTGGCACTGGGCCCAGTCCTGCTGCTGTACTGGTTTCACACAGCATTCATGGTTTACACTGGCAAGCAGGAAGGGACAATTGGCTTGGTGGTTACATATGCAGTGCACTTTAATTTTTCTCCACTAGCACTGGATATACGTCAAAACCAAAGCTCTGCATTCAAGTAGCCAAGGGGTTCAGGATGGAGTCAATCAACACAAACCTAACCCAACAGATTCAGTTTGGCTTATATACCAAACAAACAAAAGAGAATTCGGACTTAACAGGAGAATTCATCTGTTTTAAAATTGTACTGGCCTCTTTCCCTGAGACAACAAAATCTTTCGCCTGCACTATAAGAGAGATTTCCATCCTATGTAAAGGAGCAGCACTGCAGACCCCACTCCTAACTCTGCTGATGCTGGTATTATCTTTACTTTAAATAGGAATAAGGCTTGGAAATGGGAGGGTCTTCCCATCTGTAGAAGGAGATCTTTCCTAACAATGCTCTGTCTGTTTTGAATGAAAACATCAGATTTTCTTCATTCTGGCACATTATGCATTTAAACAGGAAAAAAAAAATAGTATTTATTCCAGCTTTGTCTGTCCTGTAGATGATTGTCCAGGCAGTGCTGATGAATCCACTCAAAGCACCTCTTCCCAGCAATTTTCACACATAACATTTGTGAAAAGTTTTCTTCTTCCCCAAAATCTTTTCATTCATATAAGGTTCCCTTGTGTCCTCTGCAAAAGCTGTCATCTGCTCCCCTTGTGCTTCATGGAATCACTACAGAGGAAGCCACAAATCTACTCTCCTTCCCATTCCCAAATCAGATATACGGACATTCATCACCATGCACATAATCTGTCCACGATAAATAATTCTTCCCTATACTATACAAGAGACTGTCTTAAGTTTTCATACTTTTAAAATGCAAAGACATAAATTATGATACATGTGCTCAGAGCAGCAACAGCAAAAATAGAGGAAAGGAAATAAAATTTAGTCTTCAGTCTTGCATGCCTGAGGCATTTGGATACTAGTTTGTGGCAAGGTGGAAGAGTGATGTAAATTCACGCCATACAAATTATCTCCCAAGTTTGACTCCTATGGAGTCTATGAGGAAGGCAAATAGTCTCAAACAGTATTAAAAGACAGCTCTTCTTTTTAACCCCCAAAACCTCATCCACCAATGAGAAAACAAAGCGTGTGTATATGAACATGCCTACTCAGGACACTATCATAAGCTTTTGAGCATGGGCACTTGCTTTTAAAATCATTCAGGGTTAAGCACATTGACAAGAAACCTGGTATTTGTTCCTGACTGAAGGATAGGGTCTCTACAGTCAGTGGTAACAATGTCCATCTTTGGTGTAACCAAGTTATTTGTATAAGGTGCCCAAATCACAGGAAGTACAGTGTCCCCCTTTAATCCTGCCACAGGCAAGAAGAATCTCAGCAGCCAGAGCATCATTGGAGGTGAAGAGCCCTGAAGCCAGACTGATGTGACATTCCCAATGGAATCACACCACATTTGCTTCTCTGCAAGTGAAAGCAGAATCATCTCATTCTACAGACGCTGGCTGGGCAATATGGCATGGAAATAAACAGCCCTTTCTTGATGAATACTTCTTCACTGGCCCCGAGGAGTTAATGTTGGTCAAAACCTATTTACTTCAGAAGAGAATCATTCCCCAAGACAAATCTAAACCATTTTAGGCAGCGTGAGGTACCAAGAATCGGAAAAATTCTTCTTCCCATCAATAGCCTCATCTTGCTAAAAAGCAAAGACAAATATAGCTTTTCAGATTAAAATATCTGCTTCAAATCAGGTGAATCATCTTTCCTCTGAGGAAGCTAGCATTTAGACTTCTGCCTATGTAACTAAATCTGGGAAAAGACATGTTTGTTGCCATTGCCAAGCAACTGTGATACTTCAGAGAAGAGCAGAGTGCAGATAAAAGAGATTCTGTGACTGTTTCTGTGCTAACTTCCCCATATGTACATACAAAACCCAGTTTCTATTATCAGGAGTCAATCTTAAGTACTTTCTATGTCGGCCTTCCATTGCCTTGCTAATAATATGTCCTGAACTCTATAAAAATTTTGTTTATTCATAGCACATCGCAATGTAAGGGTGCTAATCACCTGAATCTGGCTGCACCACAGATAAAATTTTTGGAAAAAATTAAATCAAGTGATCACTGCTTCTGTAGGAAAACTTGGATCATCATTGTCATGTCAGTCTATGCAGATGCATGTTTAATTTTTTTATTTTCACCTCCATGCTTCTGGACTGCTTTGAAGATGTCGTATCTGATCACTCCTTTCAAAGCTTTGTTGGATGAGATCTTTGTGCCAAAGCACTCTGAGATCACAAATAACTATTTCAGGGCTCTGTCAAATGTGTTGAGGCAGTCAAAACCTAAGATCCATAAGGCCAGTAACTCACCCCTGAAACTATAAAGCAACAGCCTTTAAACCTGAGGAGCTGATAGTTCATTGAAGAACTATCCTATGTTGGCCCATAGAGTTAAGTTTCTCCTACATAGTACTATAAGCAATGAGCACTTCACAGATTTTCACCACGCAGCGTTAGTTTCCTTTGAATACTTATTTTTATATGGACCACACACATCCGAAAGTCTTTTAAATACCAAAGCTTGTGAGCCAAATTCAGCTTACTGCCAGGAAAGTAGGAGGTTTACCTTCACAACATAGCTGCCCCGCTCCTTGCCTTGTAACCATCTGCAGAGGCTGTACAGTCCCATCTGTAGCCTGAATCACTGAAAACCCCAGGGAACAGAAGGGACAGAGTTTTCTATCTGTGGAAGGAGGAAAGGTTGGAAGTCGTAGATTCCAACGAGTTTGGCTGGGCTCCAAGGCCACCTGCAGCAGCCAGAGAGTGTGAGGTTCTCACCTGCATCCCACAGCAACAGCACCCTTTGGGTGGGACCTGTCACTCCTTTGGAGACAGCCTGCAGCTGTGCTGAATTAATGCTTCTGTGCTGCTGCAGCCCCACACCCTTGGCAGATCCCCCTCAACTTCAGCAGATGACTTTGGCATCAGATAAACTTCTGCTGAAGTTTAGGAGAAAGGAGCTATTCCTTCCTCTGAGGGATCAAAAAGAAGCATGCTACAAGTGAAAAGGCCATTCCCTGTGCTAATAAACCCTTTTTAAGTATCTGGAAACAACGCAGCCCAAAGAATTAATTCAGTGACTCATCAAAGATATTCCCAACACATCCAGATACAATAAAGCACTAAAAAGCACAACGCTCATCCAAAAAATACCTTCAACATTAGATTTCATCTGGCTTATTCCCTCCATTCTACAAAGCAACAAATCACATAGATGAATAAATATTCCACGGCTGAAAACAAATTCCCTGATAGAGAAAACAAGACACCCTCATCCAAGGTATTCTTTTATAAATCCTGCCACATCCAGTGGGTTCTACAAGGCAAATTTTGGTGGCAGTTCAGTGACACAGTTTCCCCGCAACAGAAATTTGCAAAGCTTGCAGAAAGACATGGAAACACCTGCCACATGCATTGCCTCTACGTTGGGGAACATGCAGAAGCTCACAGACATTGTCAGTATGCTTCTGCTGACCAAACTAAGCATGATATATGGTCTGCAAGTCCCAGCCAAGGCCACAACAAATGAAACCACAAGAAATCTAGATCTCTCTTTCCTCAAAGGTTGTCTATGGGCCGCATCGTAGCACATAGGAGACTCATGATCAAGACTGCTAATTTCTTGATAATTGAGCTATAAGACTAAAATTTTCAATAGAAGATGAAAAATACCTTTAGTGGCTTTAGGAGACATCAGGAGTTTTTTTGCTTTTTTTTTTTTTTTTTTTTTTTAACTCTGCAGCATAGCACCGGAGAAGACTAGAGGTAATAAAAGGACAAATTACACCAGCCTGGAGCTCTCAACCTCTGAGGCAAATTGTGAAATTTGGAATTGATCATGATCATCCTGTGTGATGGGCAGGGACTACACGAGTACAAAGGTCAGTGCTTTGATGCTGATCATTTTAGGAAACTTTAGTAGGTTTTAATTTGGGGTTTTCTTTGGCTGGTCCAGGGTGGGTTTTTTTGTTGATTTGTTTGTTTTAGGAATGTACAGCTTGCTGAAAACCAGATAATAGTTTAACATCTCAGGAATACCAGATGATTAGATTAGATATTATGAGGAAATTCTTGACACAGAGGGTAGTGAGGCCTTGGCACTGCTGCCCAGAGAGCTGTGAGTGCCCCATCCCTGGAGCTGGTGGATGGCAACCAGCCCAGAGCAGGGTTTGGAACTAGATGGTCTTTAAGCTCCCTTCCAACTCGTTTTATGATTCAATAATGGTGATTTTACTGAGTGAGAAGCTGACACTGGAACTCCAGTGTTGATTCCGATGCTGTTTCCACATTATATATGTCCTTTTTCTTGTGAACCTTCCCCCCAGTGTAAGATAAAAAAAATTACTACACACTACAATATGGGTATACTACCCATTATAAGAAACCCCTGGTCTGGAAAAGTTTGTAAACCACTGTTTGACTGAACAGAAGAACTGTACCAGAACATCAGGATTCACAGCCAATGTT